ACTGAGCGGAGGCATTAGGTGTTTGATAACTAAAGCTCTTCTGCTAAGAAGTATATGCATATGCAAAAGCTAGGCATTTTAGGGAGTCATGGAATTGTTGTTGATAATGTTCAGTTTTCTTGAAAAGAAAGTTAATTTCTTGGTAAGATAGAAATGAAGCAGAATGTCCTAAGCAGAAAACTTGTACTGTGGAAGACTTGGAAGGATTTTATTTTATTAAATATAATGCAAAGATTTTGAGAGGTGGCTTTTACATCAGAGAAGATGCTGTCACGCTTTATTGACCTACATCTTTGTGTCTCCATTGTGCTGCTGCAGATTGTCATAGGGATAGAAGACTGGGAACAGAAATCTAAGATAGCCATGTAAAGAGTGGTTTTAATAATTCATGCTAATTTTAAGAGACAAGACAAACAACTGATTTAGTAATTTAAATATACATAATCTGTAAGGTAAATGGTTAATACAGCATGAGATACACTTTTAAAGCAATCTGCTTAAAGTAGATTTGATCATAGTAATTAAAAATATAATAAGTTACAAGTTAATACATGTAAGTTATAAGTTACAAGTTATAATAAATTACATTGTTATTACATTGTTTGTTAGATATAGTTCATTTAATCATACCATACCAAACCTTTCTTGTGCTTGCCACACTTCCTTGCAATCTGACAGTACATTGTTCTTCCAGTCCTCTTCAAAAACCAAGCTAATGACAGAATGAGTGTTCCAGCTGAGAGAGGCTGTGCTAGCATTAGCAGCACCTCTCCAGATTTGTTGCTGATCAGAGATGGCAGTAGTTGTGGCTGTGGAGTATTTCTGAAGGACTATGGAAACATGTCCATACCAATTATTTCAATGTTCAGCACCCTTAGCACAGAGGGTTGTTACATCCTAAAGTAGAAACAAGTTCCCTGGCTGGATACTTGTGATGCCTGATCAAATTTCAGCACCAGTAACTACTTGTAAAAGCGAGGCTTTTTTTAAATACATGAAATTGACAACTAGCTACCTAAATAATTACCATACTAAACCTTGCCCATAAGCCTTAGTTGATGGTGGGAAGCACAAACTTCTCACACCTATTTGCAATGGTTAGTAAGAGTGGTTGGTCTATTGTATAGTTGTCAGTTTTATGATATAAAACTATGGCAAATGTTGTCTGTGAGAAACAGCTGCTATAAGAGAAAAGGTAAAGCATACTCCTTTCTTTCTGGAAGATTTGCTTTTGACATCAGAAGACATCTTCCAACAAAGGCATGAGAGAAGTTTTAACAGTCCCCTTCTTATCTGCTGCTCAGTGTCTTGCAGCAGGGCAATGATGATGCAGCTTTCCATTTTCTACATTCATCATCATGCAGAGTCAAGCTTTAAATGATCTAAGCTGGGGGAAGTCAGAAATAATTGTTCATAGTAACTTTTATTCTAACAAAACCATAGGGTTTAAGGTTGAATAAACTAGATGTGTCAGTTTTTCTGGTGTTAAAAGTTTTTTTTTTCTGATTAGGATTAAGTTTTGATGGAAAAGGTTAAAGTTAGAATTAACTAAATTGTCAGATTGAAAGTTTTTAGTGTATGGACATTTTGGCTATACCTATGAATGTTTTACTTAAAACTGCAGTGTTGTTTCCATTTAGTATTTTCATGGAATGGGCTTTCCTTTTGCCTCTAGTGTTCTGTAATTTTATTATGCTATTTTCCTATTTTGAATATATAAAAGGTAAATGAAAACAATTATAGAAAGTGCAGAGAGCATAATCAATTACTTTTGTTACCTATACAAAGAAGTGACAAAAAGGTTTTCTTTTTGAAAAATGCTGATGTCTGGATACTAGCAATTACATGAACCAGAGATAACAACCATTGTTACAATTTCTTTGTAGAAATTAAACTATTTTAAATTATTAGTTTATTATTTGAAAATAAGTAACTGACAGTAACCTATTTGACTATGGAAAAGTCACGAGTCTGCTAAGGGTTAAGAAATTAGCAGGAATCCTAAATACTCCTGTACAAAAATGGTGACTATCTCTAGTTTTGTTCTCAGGATTTGGGATTAAGGTTAGTTCAGTCAGTTTTTTTAATTTAATTTTATGGTAAATATGCAAGAATTTCAATTTTTTGAGGAGGAATTTTGTGAAAACTGGAATACATATTATCCACCTGACATCCACCCAAAAAATGATGATGTTGTTGGGATTTTATGTCTACTACACACACGGTGCAAATCCCCTTCTCTCACTTAGCCAAGACATTCTGTGAGTTTGGCAATTGCAAAGAAAATTGTTAAGAGTTGAGCACATGGTAACTGTGGTGCCGTAGTGTCTTGGAATGAAGTAAGTGTTCTACATCAAACGTTTTTTGGGGTTATTTATCCTAGTATCTGCTAATGGAGTTGAGTTATCAGTGAGTAAAACAGTTCTGTTCATGAGGCTCAAGGCAACAAAAAGGTCTGTGTGACTGACATGGTAAATACCACCTCCAGAAGAATCATCGTGCTAAGATTGCTGTAAAAAGCTCCTTAAAAAGTTTCTTCCCCAGAATCCTTTTTCTTTTCTCTTGATGCCACACTAGAGATAGAGAGCTAAAAAGAGTTTGCAGGTTTAATTCTGTGATTGCAAAGATCAAAGATTTCTAAGTTTGTAAAATTTTATTTTGGCAGTGTGTCCTCAGAAGCTGCTAATTGTCTACATGCTTTTCTAAAAAATACAGTTCATTTTTTTCATGTCTTGCTACTGTTTCCAATTTAGTAAAGAAGAAATTTGAGGCATTCTGGTCAATTCAGTTACTCAGTTCAGTCTCTTCTCTAAATTCAGAGTAAGTTCTAGGGAACAATCGGACTTACAGAAAGAATTTTGCTAAAAGCACAGTCATTTAGATTATGGATGTTTTAAAATTTTATGTCTTAGATGTAATATAATCAAAAGGGTTAATAGAGCTTTTTGAGTGAGACATATAGTAGTGCATACCGTTTTTTCCGTGCTGTTTTTGCTGCTTTGTTCTTTTAGTACTGATCTTTGATAGGCAACATAGGCAATTGGGTAGTAAAAAACATTTGGCATTTTTTGGAAGAGATTTTTGGAAATGACAGGATGACCTTTTTTTTCTTTTACCATACTTGAAAAAAATATATATTTTAAGGGGTGAGTCAAGACAAGATAAAATTGCCCTTCTGTCCACTCCCAAGTTACAAGTATACATCACAGGGATATGTGAAAGCAGAAGTGTACCAGTCTTCAATATGAGGAAATAACCCATTATCAAAACCAACTGAACTATGTTAACATTATGGGAGATTGCTAAGAAAAATTAATTTGACTGTTTGGAGAGCATATGTGGTTGTAGAATGGATTGACCTTGGTTAAGCAAAATGCATCCATGTGATGGAGAACTGGTTGATGGTAGCCATGTTTTCAAAGACGAGTTGAAAAGAAGCTTGAATTAGGTTTTTACTACCTTCAGGAGTGAAATTATCTTCTCTCTAGAAGGTGTCCATTTGAGATTGAAGAAATTCATAACATGTTAAAGTCAGGTTGTTGCAACCTGGCTATTATACTCTCTGGGCATTAATAATGTGTGTGGGCTAAATAATAGTCTGAAGTTATTAAAAACTGGCTAATTGCAGTGAGGGATAGAAGGATTAGTCAAAATGGATCTTTTTCAATTTGATCCACTTTAGTACTATTGAATTACTGTAAATATTTAACTCCTGCCATGTTTCTTATGTGTTGATGAGGTCTTTAAATTGTAATTGCAGTTCTCTTAGCACTTTGTTCCTTTAAAAACCGAAATTGCTGTAAGGAATTAATCTAAACTGAGAATTAGCCAAATAGAGTTAATGGTGGAATTAATCTAAACTGAGAATTAGCCAAATAGAGTTAATGGTGGAAAACATAGTAAAAAACCCAAAAGAATTCATGTAGTTGTAGTATATCTAGTAGTACAGACTTACAGATGTACAAGCTTATATATTAGTTTATACCGTTGCACACTTTAGTGTGATTTTAGAAAGAGTAAAATCAACTCTCTGCTCAGCTATAATACATATTTTGCAGTATAATCTCTTACATTTCATCAAAGAAGTTGTCTTGATAACATTATATAATTTAGAAAACAATTTTCAAGTGTGTGTTCTTCTTATGTATTTTACTTATTTTCACTACCAGGAGAAACTTTTCTTTGAAGTTCTAATCTGAAAATGTTTCTTATCAAATCTCATAAGAATCTAAGAGATGCTTGCTTCCAATCTATCAGATTTTTCAACATGGTAGGATTATATATATGATGACTTCAGCACTCCTTGTGATATACTGATGTTTGTAAAAAGTTAAAAATTCTGAGACCCACTCTGCATACTTAATGTGCTACAGAATAGAAATAATTGAAATGTGACATGATGGAAGCAAGCATAGTGCAGCCTTGGGCAGGCATTGCAGAAAAAATGAGCAAATATACAAGTTCTTGTTCAGAGGATTTAGAAAATATTTTGCATTCTATTGAGAAATTTTACTTTATTCTCTGAAGTTCCAGCTGGTTTTATAGGATCATTTCCACTTTGTATTGCAAAGGAAGAGGGAAGAGAAATGTCCATATTTCCCTGTAATTAAAGCGTAATATGCTATGCATGCTGGTCAGGGTGAGATTTGCATAATAATGTGTCCATTGGTAAATCTGATATTGCTGATTTAATTTTAGAAAGCAGATAGATGTATGCTTAAATTTGTTGTCACTGTCCTGGCACATCTGCCATTTTCATTTCCACATTTTTTGAAAAGTCATTTTGATAATATTGCAGCTGAGGAAAATGAAAAGTGTATTGTTTCCAGGCAATTTCATAATGGAACAAAATATGATACATTGTATGGTACAATAGCATGCAGAGAACAGTATGTATAGTTTTCAGATTTCACCTTACTTTTACTTACCATAGTAAAAGATGTGTAGAAACCATTTTTCTAAATTTTCTAATTTTTTTTTTCAATCTGTTTTGTTTTCAGGCATTGCTGTTTCTGATGAACTCGATAAGGTAAGACTGATAAAAGATGTCTAATGAGCAATACAAAGAGGCAGATGCTTATGATTAGGCACATGTCACTGTCCTGGTATATACGTGTCTGTTCTGTTGGGTTCAGAGGAAGTTTGGGTATGGAAGGCTATATGGGTAAGTGCAGTATGTGTGGATACATTATGATCTTGACCAAGGATGGGCTGTCAAGTGTGGAAAAAAAAAAGTGACTGAGTTTAAGAGACTCTTAATGAAACAATGGAAATACTTTTGATCTTGACACCATCTTTTCTTAATATAGTCTGTTGGATTACTTTGTGAACTTTTTATTCATGAAATTGAATTCTGCAGTCCCAAAAATCATTTATGAGAATAGTTAGAAATTATTTTTACCACCCAGATTTACTCAGGAGTGCACAAGGCATAAAGATCAGTCTTTACCTCCTTGCTGAACGCAAAAATTATCTCTTCCGTCTGGCCGTTTTTGATACCTTACACAGTTAACATGAATTTTAATTCTAGATGTAATAAATTCTATATTGAAAGAGGAATCAAGCTGGGTTTATTAAAGTTCTTATGGAAACAGAACCAATTTTTCTTTTCTATTCTCAGCAATGAATAGCAGTGTGCTTCTAGTGCCAAGAAAACTTGTGTTGTGTTTTTCGTGTCAGAAACCATTGTTGTCAGGAAATTGCGTTCAAAAGGTATATAAGACATAGGAATAATGCCTAATATAGAGCACTTTGTTTTTTTAAATAACTTTCATTTCTGCTGGTAAAATGAGGACACAAATCCTTCTGACACAAGTGCATATAAAATACCATCACTGCATTCTCCAAGGAAGGCCACTTAGGTAAGACTGATAAATGTTACCATGCAGTCAAGTGCATCTGTGGCTGCCGTTTCCAAACTCTGGCCTAAGCCTTCCCACTGTTTCCATAACTGGGCTGAGAAGTGATGGTAAACACAATTAGAAAGTCATTCTATTAGAGCCCTCACCTTTAAGAATACTTCTGAAGAAATCAATTGGTTATGTTTTTATTGTTGAAAAAACCCTCTAAGATACTCTTTGAGGGAGGAAAAAGACAATTTAGACTCGGGCCTGGTATCACATACTTTTTACATATATATTTTAGGAAATAATTTCTGGGTAGTTTGGTTTTTATTAAACTATAATATCTTATTGTTCAAAAGCATTAATGTTTTTTAAATTTAGTTATTCAATATGAAAACTGAGATGAAGAGCATCATTGGGGAATTTCCACAGGATGCAGTCTTACTGAAGAGTCAGGTTTTTTTTTGTTAATATATAGCTTATTTTTTATAATTTAAAACTTCAGGGTGGTAGGCTTTAAAAAAAACCACAAACTTGGAATTAGGTTATATACAATTATGCATGAATGTATATACTTGAATATTCTTGAAGCTACTTCTGCAAAAACCCCCAAAAATTCAACTCTCTAGCATGCACCAGTTGTGCTGTACAGCTCAACAGGCTTTCAGCATAGATTTAGAGGAGTGATTTTTTTTTTTATCTCCATGATCTTTAATGAACTTTATTTCTATTTCTTGTTTGACCCTCTCAGGATTTTTAGTTAATGTAAAATCTAGTCTATTTTAAGAAAATAAGCATGGCCAGGACCATTCTGTGGAATCCTGCCTCCTAGGAATGATCCATTATAGAAACTAATTCTTGACATGTTCCTGTGACTTGTTTCTATATGTATTATTTCTCTTGGGCCAAAAGCAGCTAAAGACAACCTGATAATAGTTATTTTGACATTAAAGAGAATTGGTTCTATTTCACCTAAATGTGTTCACAGATTATGTTTATTTTTCAGGTATAAATGTAGTAAAATTTTAATTTTTTAATACATGCTGATACTAGGGCTTCCTTATCTAAACTGTAGCAGCACTGAATATTTTTTTGAAATCACATTCATCTATGGTTTCATCAGGTCTTTGGACAATTTAACTCATCTAGTCTTTGGACTAGAACAGCATGGCCAAACTTGGCATTGTATTCTAGTAAAACGTCAGCATTGCAGAGATGTTATGAGACACACTCTTATGTGTGCTCTTCCGTGCTTTACTTCCTCGATGAACAGGAATATTTTGGGGAATTAAGACTATGACAGAGCCCATAATTATGCTGTTTTATCTATGGTTTAGATTATAAACCTAGAGAAAATAGAGAATGCGTATGTAGATTTCTTTACTTTTGATTCTTTATTTTTGTTTCTGACTGTCTTTTTGAAAAAAAAAAATTCTTTCTGGGTTCAGTAATCTGTAGCTTCCTTTGTCAGGGTAGTACTTAATCAGCATTTCTGCTTGATGTAACTCCTCCTCCAAGTAATCCAGTTAATTAGTTAGTTGCTTAGTTACTTTAGCATTTCAATTTGGAAAACCAGTTTGCTCTGAATCACTTTTGGGAAAGAGTGTTTCATTTAAATGGATTCTTGTCAAATATCTGCTGGTATTAGTTTTTTTGTCAGTACTTAGAGCTTTTATCCAAGACAGTAATAGAGAAAATATAGGCACATGAGGTGAGCCTTCAGTCAATATGGAATTTTCCAGTTTGACATAATCTCCTAAAATTTCTGAGTTCACTAGTAACCTTGGAAAAAAAAGCAAAATAAAAATTAAAATTACTGCAATTAAAATAGGCTTATTGTAGCAATTACTTTCTCTTTCATTTACTTCAGGCTTGCAGAGGTGTTCTGTCTCTGTTGATGATTCAGCCTCTGTCTCTAGGCCATGGAAGCTATGTAAAGTCAGAAAATGGCATTGCAAGTACACTGTGTAAAGAAAGGAAATAAGAAGGGATGCCTTGTCAATCACATATTTTAAAATGCAGATTTAATATAATACATATTTCCGAACTGACTCACCCTCATTGCCATTGAAGAGAAACTATTGAAGGATTTTAGGAAACTGCACACTTCTGTGCATAATGTCAAGGGTTTAATGTAAACAAAGAAGAGCTAGGATATTCACTTTTTTTTGATATTCACAGAGTTCTGAGCTGAAAAAAAACTCCAGAGGAAAGCACTGAAGAGTAAGACCTGTCATAACATTGTGACATTTGTCTGGAATTCCCAGTGATATCTTTCAGTCACTTCAAACACTAATAATGTGAGACACTTGAGTATTAGCAATCCAGAGTTAGACCCAAGTGAAGATCTAAAAATTAATAGTAGACTTTGACCCTCAATGCTAATACTAAAAAATAAAATTCTATGCTGTCTAGGACATAGCTTCTTCTTATATGTAGTATTCTAAAATGAAAACAGGTTACTATTAATAAAATAGAGGAAACAACTATTCTTAAGTCGTAAAAAAAAAATTAATTTCTTCTCATCCCAAGGTATTTCTCACTATGGAGATTCTCTCTCAATCCATAATATCAGAAAATAAGAACAGCGGTTTTTAAATGATGCATAAATAAATGGATATACAAATGCTGTTCTCTCGGGTAGAGGTTGCATTCCGGAACCACATATCAGCTCAGCATGAAGAGGAGAATCAGCTGTCTGTCTTTCTCTTCTTCTCCTTTTCTCCACATAAAGGAAGCTTGAGTGTGTCAAATTGTAGCCACTGATGTGGATCAGTGGATGACACCTGGACTGCACCATGAAATAGTCCTCTTTGTCTTAGTGCAGATTTAAATACCTACCTGTATTGAAAATATTTCTGTGCACACAAATTTCAATATCTTCTGTTATTTATAGGTGAATATAAATTAGAAATCAATTAAGATTTTAAAGTTTATATGAAGAAATCAACCAAAACTATAACATCTTGTTTGAGAACAGAATACTTCATCTCAATATTTTGCAGCCTTGGAAATAAACTGCCAAATAAACATCATGGTGTTCTGAATAGAGCTGTCTCTTTTTCTCCATTTGGTGTTTTCAATGAGGCTGCTTATGTAGTTGAAAAGAGGACAATAAATTAGGTCAGTAAAACCATTGTGTACTAATCTAACACAATTCAAAAAGGAAAGTAAGGTGATAAAGTGAGGCAAAGCATGACTATGTAATGTAAATTAAATTTCTGTTAAGTAGAGTATGAAAATGCTACTTTATCCCTAAAATGCCTATGAAAGAAATTAGCATAGCAAGGACAGTCACAGAATACATGTTTTTACTTATTCATATGCTGATTTTGCAGTGTGTAGAGTCAGGAAAAAACTTAAGGGGAAATTTTTTGGTGCTTTGCATTTTCATTTAAGGGACTGAAAGCTTTTAGCGAGACTGACAGTGCAAGTTATTCTAACTAACTATTTCCAGGAACAATTTTTATTAATTATTAGAAATTATCCTAGGGAGAAAGGGACAGGATAAAATAGCTAGAATAACAGGAATAAACCTCAGAATGGGCCAGATAGTTAATTAACTAATGTAAGCACCTTGTGTAATGAAGGCATTATGAACAGTGAAATAATCTTTTTTCTAAGCTCACAAGAATTGCCACACTTGTGACAATTTGCACTTGTCAAGTTCCCAGAGGTGACTGTTATCTAGTCTACATTACCTGACTACGCCACAGCTCCAAACAGACACACAAAACATGTATTTGTAAGTACTTATAAAAACCCAGCTACAGTGGTTAAGTATCCTGAAACATCTGAATCCATTAATTCAATTTTCAGTGGTCCTTGTAGAAAAAAAAACATTATGTGAAAGTGAATTAGTCAGTCAAGTGATGACAAATATGGACAGAGGTATGGGGAGCAGAGTGTAGAAAAGCACTCACAGGCACCTTGCAGAAAGCTAAACAAAAGAACAGGGGTGAGTGAGTTAGAGCCAGGGCCTGGGTTGCATTTGACTCTCAAAATAGAGGTTCTTGTGCTCAGCAAAATTGCAGCATCTAGCCAGAGGATAAATATATTCATATTGAAAGCACTTTGCAGCTTTGTTTTTTGTTTGTTACTTTCATTTCAGTAGAGGCTTCTACTTCAAACTGCTTGTACTGTATCTGTTTCAATTAGGAGGAGATTTCAAAAATGGTTTTTAGGAAGGAAATATGGTTTCTAGTCTACCTAGTTAATGTGCTGTACTTTTTCCAGATGCTTTTTGTTTGAAAAACATTCTTTTATGGCAGGAATATTTATTGAGGCACTAAGTTAGGCAACAGCCAAGGATTTGCTTTCCTATAATTTTCACTTGTTAAATGATAGGAATAGATCTCCTCTAATTAGGCACACTGTGTTTGAAATATCTTTAGTAGCTTATAAATGGTTTAATTAAATAAATAATTAAAGAAAAATAATTATTCCTATCCCATAATTTAATATCTTTTTTTTTTTCTTGTATACAGGTGTGTTTTTTAGTTTGGCTATGCTATTATACATGACCCTTTATCTACAACCATTCTAGTAAAATTGAAAACAGAGATACTCACTACATAAGAATGATTTTTCATAGAATTTAAGGACAACTTGGTTTTTTAAATCAAAATTCCTAATATGATGATGCAAGTTACTGCTATTGTTTTGAATATGTCAGTTATAGTTTGCTTGCTTCTTGTAATCCTGTCCAGTTTATTGTCCTCCAGTAAGTGGTAAAAAATAGTTTCAGAAATACATTTTATTCAAATGTTAATACCATTTTCAGCCTAGAAAGATACATTATGTAAAGCCCAGCAGAGTTATTTTTAAAATGCAAAATGCAGATGTATTTATTAGTTTTGCATTAATTCATAATGCAAATAAGAGTGTTGCTATTAATCTACAACAGTCTTTTCGTTGGGTTTTTTAATACAAATAGCTTTGTGTTGCTTAGCAGAATGGATACACTGAAAGTTTTAAGAGCTGTGCATGTATTAAAAAAGGTGATTTTTTTCTATAGCTGTAATTAAAAAAAAAATTAATTATTTGAGGCACAAGGGCATCAGTATACACCATTAGTTATTGGAATTTTGTTAATGGGGAACTTTTCATTAGTCCATCATTGTTTCTGGGTATTTTGCAGCCTTCTGAAATGATAATGCAATGTATTGATTTTGTACTTCTAAAATTTTTTTTCTTTCTCTGTTTACATCTATGGTTGAGAACAAGCAGTGCATTGTTTTTTTCTGTTTTTTTTTTTTTTTTTCTTCAGGACACAGCAGGTTTTAACACCCCCCTTCTCAGACCTCGTGTTATTGGAGAGTGGATTGGCCGTGAAGAGAATGATGCAGACCCTCTGGCTGCTGAGATGCTGCAGCCACCAATACCAAGAAATAAAAATGAGCAGTGGGACAGTGAGGATAGCAGCAGTCCTGGAGGAAGGTGGGTTTTTGATCTGGCCTAGAAACTTTATATTTTGTGAAACAGAGCTGTCTTTGTTACAAAAATTCCATTTCTGATGGCAGAGTGCAGGGGTTTTGAATTCTCATGCAGAAGTGTGGGCACGTGCAGAATAAATAGAAGTTATTAATAGGTGACTTTTTTCTTCTCATTATTTTCTATATGATTACCTTAATACTCATTTGCAATCCTATGGATTTATTTCCATGTGAAAAGCTGAGTGTATTTTAACATTGTTTGGGTCCATTGTGTAATAATGTTGTGATGTATAGCTTCATTCAAGTACTTCATACCCTTCCATCTTTCCAGGGCTGGTAGTAGCTATTTATTAGTCTTCTTGACACTTAAGTGATAAATCTGGCTTTCTCATTTAAAGGAGAGATAGACAAGGAAAACAGTATCTATATTATTTTTAACAGAGCTTCCTAAATTCATGTTCATGTCACATATTATCTTTTTGATGTTAATAACAAGTCTTTCTCAAAGAGATATTTTGTTCTCTGCAGTAAATAATTTCTGAAGAGTTATTGTGCTTGACTGAAAGAGTTTGTGCTTTGGCTACATGGAAGAGGAGTCCATTTTCCATGATTTAAAGATACGTTTATCACAGAAGGTTAACTACTCACAGCCTTGCTTTAAAAGGCATAAATCTTCTGCACTGCCTCTGTTAATTGGCTTAAGCACCTACATTTCTTCCTTATCCTTGAAGCATATCTCCTGGGTTATAACTAGTTCTTTGATTGGAGCAGACACCTTTTTATTCCTTTTTTTAGAAGGCATCTTATACCTTTAGAAGGTATCTTATACCTTTTTTTAGAAGGTATCTTATACCTTTCAAAGGCTTTCGCTTTGAAAGGTATAAGATATTCCTTTACTTCACATTCTTCCATGTGCCTTCTTGGAATTCACCTCCCTGTCACACCGAAACTAATGTGTCACTAGCTGTGCTCTTACAGACTGCATTCATTAACTTTCCTTGCATCTTGGGAATATTTGTTATCCATGAGTACTTCATTTAATTAGATTATTGTGGGGGTAGCTGTGAGTACTACTATTTCAAAGAAGTAGCAGCATGTAGTAATGATCCCTCAGCCAGCCCTTGGATGGGAACCAACACAACTCAGACTCTGGATCTCTTCAGTGCAGTTCCTGGGAAAATAATGGAGTCAGCAACTGGCACTGCAGCTTGATTGTGCAGGCCTGGGTTTCTTTTTCCTTATTCAGCAGTTCAGTAAAGGCATTGAATAAAGATCTGTTCCATGTTTCAGAGCAAATTGAGGCTATTGTATTCCTTCTGTCAATAGAAAGGAGAAGAAATAAGCATCTCTGTCTAATTTCCAGAAGGGAGCAAAGTGGTCTAGTTCTGAGCAACAGACATGATTCAAAGCAGCCAGTTTTTCTCTTTGTAGAGGGCAGTACAAGCTGAGAGAAACCTCACAGCTAAGGCTATAATTAAAAATGTGATTAACAGCTTTGAGTATAGTATTTGAGGAATCATGTCAAGTATCATGACAAAATCAGGTTTCCTGATGTGTGAATAAGGAGAATATAGGGAACCTGATGCCAGGAAAGACTCATGGGATACTGATATCTCTGTTTTTAGGTACTGTGCTGAAGTAAGTGCTGAAGGCCTACTGAAAAATATGTATTGCTAAGTGGGAGTACTGATTTTCAGTGGAAATGAGTAACTACTAAATTACATGCAGCATATGGATTTACATTTGGATGACTGATTTTATGTCTGGGATAATTCTTTGCTTCATTAGCATTTCATCAGCTTTTGTATGGTATTTATAAAAATCATGTTTACAGTCTTGTAAAGGAATCATAAAGTTGCAGAACTTCAAGTAGAGGTGATACTAACATTGATGTCAACTATATATGGCAATTTAAAGACCCATGTTGATCAAGGTTAATCTGAATATTTAATAATAGTTCACTAATAACTGGCAGTTTCTTCAAGGTCTAATTTAGTGTTACTGTGAATTAAAGTGCTATTAATGCAGAATTTTGGAATTGACCACACATGAAATGCACAAGACAAGTACTAGGTAATAATAACTTAGTTTTAATGTAGCAAATAACTACATCTAAAAATAGATGGAAGAGTGTATTTTGCTCTCAAAAGACTGACTTTATCAGTTGTAAAAAAAGTTTGGCTATGTCATCTGTGTTTCAGTAATCTATTTCATAGTTAATGTAACCTTAAGTTAAGTAGTTAAGTTACCTTTCATAAAAATAAGTTTCATTTTGAAAAATGAAAAAGAGGGCAATTTGAAATATCCACATTCATTGTTTCCAATTTTATCTTGTTAAATTTTATTTAATAACACTTTTTTATTAAAAGTGCTTGGTTGTTTATCACTATTTATCAGGATTTATGGGATAAGCCAGCAAACTCTTAGAACTAATTATAATACTCAGTTAAAATACAAGAATGGGAAAGTCAAAACTGTAATGGTTCCATTATTTCTAGGTCCTATGCTTTGTTTTATCTGTCACTGAACATAAGGTAATGGTACATATATAAAGTGCTATATAAAGATCCAAAGAATTAGTCATGACAAATCATTGGTAGAATAAGTGCCATCAGTGTGGTGTGACAGAACCACCATTTCCTCCTGAAAAACATGCATTCCTGTGATGATGAGCAATGGAAGCAGACATGTAATATATTTGAAAGTCTGGCCTGGTAATGCAAAAGGGAAAAAAGAGCAACTGAAAGGAGAGGTGTCACTACTGCTCTGACTGGGAAAGACAATGTAGGCAGTCTGAGGTAGCTCTGTTAGGGATGTCTTGTCAAACGGATGAAAGGTCACCTTTTTGTCCTCAGTGTTCTGGACAGCTACAGAGGAAAGATTGTGTTTGTCACTGGTTTTGCACTGCTCTCTGTTGCTGCTGTAAGGAAGAAAGGCAAGGTATTAATAAGTGATAAGAGACCATAGAAAAGTGCTGAGTGCAATCCTGCTGGTACCGAGCTCATCTTTCAGAAATTTGAACTCCATGAAAATAGGATTAAACTCATTTCCAAATCTCTGTTAGTAATTTTCTATGTGAAAAATTTCTTGGACGAATTTTGAGAAGATGCAAGGCTCTTGGGAATCTTGCTCCAGGGATAATGTCTGTACACAATGGGGAATTTGAGTGGTTTTTGTTAGATACTCTTGTCTTTTAGAGCGTGAAATGAACTAGAGCTTGCAGGAGCCCCATCCATAACCTGATGTCCTATACTCAAAACCCGTTCTTCATCTCCAAGGTGCACGTTATCTTATTATTGCTGGAGAAATGAATATTGTTGATTATATTAAAAATCAAACATTTGCAACAATTCTGCCTTCCTGCAACAGACTGTAAAGAGTCTGAGGTGTTGGTGGTACGCTCATGAGGTGCCCCTCATGTGGGGCACCAAACTCCTGTCTGTTTTATGTTGATACAGTAAGGAATGGCAAAGTGTAGTAAGTTCTGCCCTAGACCATTCTAACATCTGTACAATTTCAGTTGTCTGTTATTTAGGTAAGAGGTACGACTCAACAAATCAGGAAAAGTGTTATAATCCTTTGCGGTAATGGTATTAAAACTACTCTAGAGAGCAGTTCTTTGTTGTCAAGCTTTTGCTATGCTTATCAGTATCAATAGCTTATCAGTAGCTTAGCAATACTGATTACTAATTGACATCCCGTTGTACATGTGTAGCTTATTTCAACTTGATTAGTGCACATAAAAACCAATGGGAAATTTCCCAAATTCAATTCAAAATTTTAAGTAGAAAGTGAAAACACAAAATGTCTTAGAACATCCAATGAGTGATGTATTTTGAAGAGAGCACCAGTAAGAGAAAGTTATGCTTTCCTTCCTCACAGCTTAAAAATGGAGCCAAAGACCAAAGGATTAAAACATCAACAGCAGCAACATAAGAAACTGCTGGCTGCCATGCTTTCTCAGGACTCCTTTGATTCTGCTCAAAGCACAGCTCCGTCTGTAACCGAAGAAGACATTGACAATGAAGATGATGCAATGGAACTACTGGGTAACTGCAAAAAATTATGTGTATTTTCTGAATTTTTTTATTATAAAAAATCAAACAGAGATTAGTCAGAAAATGCTCCCTATGTTTGAAGCTAAAGTATTCAACAGCTGTGTGAAGGTTCTTTAGGGTTTAATGTGAAAATTTCAGGAGAAATGTAAAGAGGACCATAAACATGTGTGAATGAACTCCCAGCTGCACCCAAATTCAATTAAATAAATGCTTCAGGTGCTTAAAGTAATTAATTTGGTTTCCTACATAAATCCCTTCCATATTTTACTTGCAGAATGTATTTCTGTACAAGGAACAGAATCAGCTTCACTGTCTTTCATCTGGTTCTACTTTTTCTTAGCTGTATCACAGTTTTAATTTCAGTAGATTTTTTTTTACTTACTAGCTACACAAAGCTTATGTAATGTGAATTTGTAACCTCTTCAGAGGATTTGATTGTAATTTTCCACTAGACTGTATTGTATCTTAAATTGCACTCTAGAAGACTTGATGCTTGCTGATGCCTCCCTTTCTTAGAGTTACTAATTGTATTTAATTCATAATGGTTCTAATTGTACTTAATAGTTTCTTTTCTGCTATTTTTCAAAGTTTCAGTGTATGATGCTTAAAAGGCAGTCATAGATTTCATTATTTGTTCACAGTTTCTGCTCTATGGAACTTTATGTGGGATCAATGCATGGGAAATTCACAGTCTCAGAATAACTGAGGTCTCTGGAGTTTATGAATTCTAGCATGATTTTTCTTTTTCAGGTTGGACCTTAATCTAAAAATCAGGAAAACACATGCTGCTCTTTTTACTTTCTATATTTCTGTTGCATCCTTACTATAGTCTTCAAAGAAACCCAGCATAGCTGAGGTTGGAGGGGACTGCTGGAGTTATCTAGCACAACATTTTGCTCAAAAAAATCAGCCATAGCCGGTTTTTCTGAGTGAATTTTGACTCTCTCCAAAGTGGGAGATTCTACAACATCTCTGGGCAGCCTGTTCCAGTGCTTGACCGTGCTCATGGTAAAAAAAAAAAAAAAAAAAAAAAAAAATATATTTTTAATATAAGTATTCTTTTAATATAATTTTTATATATTTTAATATAAGTATTCTGCTTAATTAATTGAATTAATAAATCATTTCCTTTTATTTTTCAGTAGTTTAGAGTTTGATACATGCATTTGTTTTACAAGAAAGAAGAGAATGACCTGGATCACTCATTGTTTATCACACACAGGATAGATTTTTTGTTAATTTCTGCACAGATAGTGAACAAAATGTATCCAATAGATGTACAGGTTTTTCTTCCTTGAATCTCTGAAGGTATCTGGAACCAAGAAGGCAGTATGAAGGAATTTTCTAGTGTCTTGACATTTGGGTAGAAAATTATCTATCTACAAACTAGTGTTTTGGGGTTTTATTCTAATAAGTACTCGATTGTAAGAATTCATTCTAGTTTTATGCCATGCAAAATCTGGAATATTTTTCTATCCTGCAGTTCATCAAAACTGGCTAAGTTTATACAAAACCAACATAAAACTAAGAACGTTCACAAACAGTATGTCCAGTTTGGGTATGGTGTTATATAAATGAATATAAGATTCTGAGGCAAAATACTGACATATTTGAGGAGTAGCAATGCTTGTAGTGGTTATAATATTGCCATGTTATAATAACAACCATTGAGAGACAGTTCTATATGCACATTTTGGTATTTAAGGTGCTGTGCTTCTGAAAAAGTGGCTTTAAATTCTCATTTTGCAATTTGCTGACAGTATGTGTGGTATATTTCATATAATTGTTAGGCTGCATTCTCCAGAAATGCTCAAAATTTGAGGATATGACTGTGTTACATGGAAGGATGTTTCAATTTTATGAAGGTAACATAAAGAAATTCAGTTCCTATCACCTAATATAGGTATTTTTCATTTCAGTATTTTCCAGGTCAGTAACTGATACTGTGATTGTTTGAGTTTTTTGGGTTTTTTTTTTTTTTTTTTTTTTTGGTTTGGTTTTTTTTTTGGTTTTTTATTGTTTACTACATCAATTCATTATCTGCTTTGATGCTTTTTACACACCTTATATGCAATATAACTAATTCAAATAATGGCTTTCTTCCATCACTGAATTGAAGGGCATTGTTGCATATAAGTTTTCGATTTGTTCTCTTCAGAGTTCAGTATTTTTTGTTTATTCAACCCTTTCTTAAAAAAATTACAAAACTGCATGCTCCTAAGTCAGGATTCTAGGAAAACAGTTCTACTATTTATAGCAGGTAATTTAAAACATACAGTATATTTAAAATGCAGAACTCAAACATCCATCTTTAGGTGTGCTCTTTTTCAGATTTTGGCTGTTTTATTTAGCTATTAAAAGCATAAAGCTGACTTTTTTGCATATTTTCTTTAAAAAAACCCCATCATCTAGGTGAGTCAATGAAGGTTTTAGCTGGAATTCTTTTATATTCCAGATAAAAGAAACAATTACATTGTTATCCATTTCCAAAGAAATGTATGTGCAAAAAAAGAAAAAGAATGTTACAGGGCTATATTCTGATTTCAGTTATCAATTTTTATATGTAAGATAAGATGCATAGGAGCGCTGTTCCCATGTTGGTGACTTTCTAAGTGTGTTCAGTTAAGCAGAGGGCTGCAATAGATTAGTGACTGATAACATCATAATGGAAAGGATCTTCTTGACTTCAAAAAGCTGATAACTGTAGCTGTCAATTCACATGTGTTTGAAAATGTTAAAGGGTCATAGCAATTGATGTCTTACAATTATATCAAGGGATTCATTTTTCACACATCATAATGCCAAGTATTCTGTTTTGTGAATCTAACCAGGAGTCGACAGTTCTTTGAGAAATTCTGCAGCCCATTTGGAGTTCTATGACATTTGGGCTTAAGCTGTCTCTCACATTTCGGAGAAGTCCACTGAGACTTAGAAATTGTGTTATTCTCTCAGTATTTCAAGGGTGTGCATTGGAGAGAGCTGAACTGTTATTTTCTCTGAAGTTGCTGTGTATATTGATTATACAGTCACCAAAGCATGTCTCCTTTGGTTTTAAAAAATCAATTGACTAAGTGTAAGAATATAATTGCTTAAGTGTATTGCTGTGCATAAACATACATATAGTAAAAGTATAAGGATTTCTGTAGAACATTTGGATTTAGATATATGTTCCTAAAGTTTTTACAAGTAAGGAAGATGAAAATGGCATTCTGTGTTGTTTTACACAATAATGGTATAGAGAACATGTTCTGTGAGGAGCAGCTCAGGTCATTTAGCCTGGAGAAAAGGAGGCTTAGAGGAAACCTTGTCACACTCTCCAACTTTCTGAAAGGAGGAGGCCCGGTGGAGTTTTCTGTCTTCTCCCATGTAACAAGTGATAGGACAAGTCATGCCAAGGGAGATTTAGGTTAAATATTCGGAAAAGTTTTTTCAGGGAAAGGTTTGTCAAGCATTTTAACAGGCTGCCCAAGGAAATGGCTGAGTCACTAACCCTGTGGGGATTTAAAAGATGAACAAATGTAGCAAGGACATGGTTTAGTTGTGGACTTGGGAGTGATAGGACAATGGTTGACCTTGATGATCTTAATGGTCTTTTCCAGCCTAAATTATTTTATAATTCTGTGATATTTAGTTATAATACTCAAGCAGCAATTTCTTAGTTTTGCCCAATCTCTGTGTGTTCATGGTACTAAAAGTGCTACCATATGTTAACAGATGCTGTGCAGTAGTTAACTCTGTAGTACCACTGCAAAGGGTACCCAGGAAGTTTGCTCACACAACTGTGATTGAAGTGAAAGGTGGTGATGACTGAAGCCAAATTCCTGCAATTGACACCAGTCTGTATAATTCTGAAGAGCCTCTCCGATTTCAATGTAAATAATCTTATATCTGAGCTGAACTTAAGTGTTTGGAGCATCAGGACTTGTAAAACTCTTCTGTGGGGCTGGTTTCACAAAAATAACATTTTTTTTTCCCATAATGTATAAATTTGAAGTGAAAGTTGAAGTGATTGTTTGCCTCATGTTTATTATGTATAATTCCATCTATACAGTAATAAACTAGAATCTTTAAAGATAGAAATGCACTTAAATTAGTAATAAACTTTCCAATTATTACTTTGGAAGATACCTGATGTGTTCTTTTTGCTTTAATAACTCTTCTTCTAATCTTTAGTCTTCCTTTTTTTCTTCAAGAGCTTTCAAATGTTGATTATTTAATATTTTTAACACCCTTGAAAGGTTGTCTGGGGATATATTTACATTTTATAACAAGAGGAGATAAATAGAATATAGTGGAGATTGCATCTGCCTGTAGGATGTGACTGTAGCTCAGTGTCTGGTAGTTTAGCCCTTAAAAATCTATACTGCTTTTTAATGAGCCTCTGAGTCATTAATGAAAGGGTGTACAGTCTGCAGTGTTTTCAGTGCATTTCCTCTGATTTAACAGACGTTCCTGTTTTCATTGGTTCCTAAAGGTCTTTGACAACATGCAGGAAGCTGACTCTAGGCATAATAAATTATACTAATGCTAGCAACAGGTTGTTGCTTTTGTTGACTTTCCCAGATGAATGAAACTTTCTCCATTAAGTGACTAGAATTTTCAGAGAAGAGACCACAAAGCCCTGGGGAAGATGATGTGAGTTGTACTACATCTTTAGAACAGTTTTCTGGCCTGTAGTCTGTTTTGATTTAAGTAGAATGATTGTGTGGGAGAAAGGTGTGTGAATTGCTCCTAATGTTCCCTTTCACTGAGTCTTGTGGTTTTGGAAGCTATTGGGAAATGGGCAAAACTACCAGTGGACATGTGCTGTGTAGAGCACACACAGAGAATGACACCCCTGGGAGACAGGAGGCCTCCTCTGCATGCAGAGACTGGCTGTGCTATACACTGCAAAGTTTTCAGTGGTAGGTACAGTGCACCGGTGTGTATGTAACAGATGTCCTCTAGAAGAGCGCTCAGACTCCATCAGGAGTGGGTTTAAATATCTTTTT